TTGTCTGAAACTTTCAGTCTGCCACTCATGCTTTGCATGGCTGCTGGGTATGTTTAATCCACTGACAAAGGCTTCCTTTTGCACTTGGCCAGAGGTAGCTTATGGAAGAAGACATGACCCAGTGTGATGTGTTCTGTCAATAAAATTAAACTACAGTATTAACTGGAATGCATTATTTGATTAACGTTGATGTAGGTCAGAAGTTTTGTGTTTATTTCTCTTCTGCTGTTTTGTGATTTGTTTTTTTTTGTTGTTGTTGTTTGGGGCTTTGGGTGGGTTTTTTTGGTGGGGTGGAGGGGAGGAGGTGAGATGAGGCTAGGATTAAATAGGCCAAGCAGTGATCCTCTGGAATCTAGCTATAGTAAAACTTCTCTCTCTAGCAGCTGTAGATACTAAGTTTTGAAGTTTTGCTTCTCAGTCTATCTTTTGGTGGATACCTATGAGAGCACTGTATTTATATTTTAACATCAAGTTATAGTTTCAGTACTGACAGAGAGAAATTCATACAGATACTTACTGTACAGGACAAGGGTAATTATTAATTACGGGGAGATTCAGACTCATGTTTATAATTATAGTCAGAGAATTTTATAATTAACAGTTGTGACTCGTACTTGTTTTTCACCTATCGTGTTGTCTACCTTAAACCTTTTACTGCCTTGTGCACTTACAGTGAGTTTTAAAACCTTGTAAAACCAGCACAAAACTTAATTTCTGCTAAAATCAGCTTAATCTGCATCTTCGAGTACTTACTTGAAAGGTTTACAATTTTTTCTTCTTTCTAGCTCTGTAGATTTGTTTAGAATATCTGTCACATTGGGCAGTCTTTCTGGATTTAGTGGGTGTCATTTGGACTTCTGAATCAGAGCGTCACATGTCATTATGTCTGCAGGAGTTAATGTGTTTTGGGAAAATAAAATACCTCGAAGTATATTTAACCAATATAGTGGGAAAGACAAACAGTTTTTCAATACACAGTGTTTCTCAAAAGAGACAAAACTGTGTTTATTCAGTATAATCAAATATACTGAGATGTGTCAGAGAAACTGTTTCAAGCTTTTTACTCCAAGTGTGAAAGAGCTTCCGTAGAGAGAATACATATTATCTTGGACTATGCCTCTTCTGAATTTCAGTAATAGCTGAACTGTGTTGAAAACACCTTTTCAGTAATTGTACCTGTTTAACAAAATGCAGATGATAAAATTGCTGGTAAATATAACTTTGTTTTAAGATAAAATAAGTACATTTAGTTATATGTGCTGAAATGATCCATTATTTCTGTAAGTAGAGCCCATACCATTTGACACCTCAGAAAGGTCTTTGTCTTGTTGTTACAGACACATGCTAGACTTTCTTAACTTGATTTCCAGAATTTGAACTCTGACATTCTAAAACTGTAGATTCCAGTATGTTCATAGGAAAGTCAATCAGGAAAATGAAGTTCACATAAATAAATTATTCTTTCAACCTCTGCCAACACTTACCTTGCCAATGATCCAAACTTCTATTTCTGCTCTCAGTTATTTCCAGATATTTGCTGATTCTTGTTGATCTGGCTATCTCTAAAAATTCATTTATTATCAAATCATGTGCCTATTTCTGTCTGTTTAAAATAGATCCATAAAAATGCTAAAATTGTACATTTCCAGAATTCTAGTTCTGTGGAAACCTGTAGGGCCCTGACTGATGAGCAATACCCCATTGTGCATGATTATTGCAATGACATGTAAATCTACTGAAAATAGAGCAGGAAAATAAAGATTCCATCAACAGAAAAGAGAGCACGGTATGTTATGTTCACAATTATGCTTCAGGATGGAATATTTAGACATTAAATGCAATGGCACAGGAAGATTTTATTTCAAGCCATTTTAGATACCATTTCTATTGGAAGTATCTCTTAAAATTACTAGAGAAAAAGAGTGGGGATCTTCTATAATTGGTCTCAAGTGAAAAAGCTGGTACCAGTCCAGGATGGATATACATAATACGCATAGTAGCACCCTGTTGAATGAATTTCTTGTCAGATAACTTACTTATTTTTTGTTGAAAGGTTATGGATACATAGTATTGACGTAACTCGTCCTCTCCCTCTCTCTCTTTCAAAACAAATTCCTGCGGTTATGCTACATGAATCAAACACTCCAGCTTTGCTATAATTTTTATTGTGAAGATTTTAACTGTGGTATAGCAGGGCTAATTATTGCTTTGTCAAGGACTTGGAGAAAAAAACTTAAAAACTCTCATTATTATGCTGCAAATACCTAATATTAAATATAAAATACATAGTTTGACATACAACTCAGTACCAAATCTGCAAAATTTGATTTTGTTGGTCTTGTTATCAAAATGAATTAATGCAAATATGTTCCACAAATCACTAAGGCTGAAACATAACTCATTCTCAATAAAAGGATCTTTGTTGACTCATTGATTTTACAGGTTTTGTCGCACTGTGAAACCCATGTTCCTTACAGAGTCAGTATCTTTCAAGAATGCGTGTTTAGTCTCTTTGCTGAGGTCATTCCATTGATATTTCAATATTATACCAGAAATAACTGTGATGTGATAGTACCACCTAATCAGCAGTGCAGTGCTGACCAAACTAAAATGACTGCTTGCTATTCCGGCCCCATCAGTTCTTACACTTGGAAGTTTATGGATTATGAAATATAGCCATGACTATTTAAAGTGGGGGGTTTTGTTGTTGCTGTTTTGATTTTGCTTTAAGTTAGTGGAATTGAGTAAATATTTAACAATGTAGAAGATTACTACTTCTACATTGCAACTACTTCTCTTGAAACACATTAATGTGATTTACAACATCTGCTTTGGTGTACTAGTTGAAAGTTGAGATTCATTAGCTTACCTAGAACCTTATAAGTTTTGTCTGTAGCATTGATGTCCAGACTTTCCAGAGTATGCATGCTATATTGGGAAACTCATGAAAGCCCAAACTTTTCATTTACCACCTTTGTTCATTGAAGTGATTATGTGGATACATATGTCTTTTTGTAATCAGCTAAGTAGTAAGCCTTTGTTCAGCTTTAAAGATCTTGCTTATTTTGTACGCACAACTTCATCAGTGACCTTCTGAATTGGTGGACATTTAATGAGAGTTGTATATATTCTGTCCTGCAGCTAAACATTGTTTTCTAAGATGTGCTTTTGCAATCAAATTCAGACAAATAAAAAAGTTTTCTCTATCCTGGAGTGAAGAAAGACAAGATTGGAATATTCCATTGTACTCAAGGTAGTAACAGATACTGCAAACAGATCTATGACATATGTTGTGGCTAAAGTAATTTCTGGATTGATGATGCCTAAAAAAGTCTGACCTGAAAATCCATTTTTCCATTTCAAGCATTTGGTACTGCTTAAATAAAAAAAACACTTCCAAATGTCTTCTCTGAGGATGTTCCCCCTGATTTCAATTTTTCAAAGCCATCTTGTCTTATTTGCATTATTGACAATATCTGTTCCAGCATTCAGAACACATGCTTTAGTGAGGCCTTCCTAAATACTTGTATCTCTAAGGTGTATCTCCCCACATTTGCCAGTTCTCCTACTGAATTTTGTCAATCAATCCTAAAATAATTGATTTGCTAACCTTCCTTAAATTTTATAATATCATCTTTTAATTAAAAAAAAAAAAAAACGAAAATAGGAATCTAATCTATGTTACACTAGCAATGAAATAGCTAGCCATGAAAAAATTAGAAGGATTTTAGTAGTATTATTTCCAGATAATTGCAACTTTTTAACATAATACTTTGCAGGTTGTGTAAGCTATTTCAACTTTTTTCTGGGACTCAAAACAGCTCTTTCAACTTTAGGCTCATTTATGAACGTGATTAAAATGTATTTTTGTGTGTATATATATATCTTGAGGTGCTTTGTATTTGTATGGCTAATGCTTTTTGTAAAGATTTATAAATTTTGAGTTGTTGGTAAGGTAAACAATTACAGAGCTGTGATTTTGAGTTTGGAAAGATGATGAATACAGTTCATCATAAGCCTGCTCTGGCAAAGTATTAATCTTGCCCCTAAGCTGTGTCAGTTCCCAGATAGGAGCACAGATCTCTTTAGCTTGGCAAGCTGACCTGTAGAGAAAGAAGGCTGAACTGCTGTGTAAACTGTAACATATCTGACAGAATAACACTTTCTTTACTAAGGGGTTTTGTTTTATATAATACTAATGCTGTAAAAATGTGCAAATGTGTGTAAAAAGTTAAATATTTGCTTACCCCATCCTTCGTCTCTAAATATTAGATGAGCTGGAACTGTTGCTTTATAATAGCACAGGTACAACCTCGTGTCACATATTCAGAACTTTAACATTCCTCATTCCTCAATAACGCAACTTCTGCATGGCTCTCACTTAAAGCAATAGCATATCCCACAGGGAGAAAACATTTTAAATGTCAACAAACAAAGATTTATGACGACACTGGATTTAGTACCTATAATTGGCTGCAATATTAACCATTCTATTTAACGTTACATGGACAGACTGCAAATCTTCACTCAAGTTATCATCAAAGTGTAGTTCTTATCAGACTGATGTAGTAGGTTTAAGGCTATATTTATCAACCTTTCACTATTAGCAGGCACTGCAAAAAATATTGCTTACAGAATTAGTTGATCTTCAAAGCCTGTCCCATTACATTAGGCTTATACATATGCATATGGTTTGGTCTAAGAGCACTTGTAGTCACTCCACAAATTTTAAGTTGGGCTCCTTGTAGGATAATGCTGAGAAAGTTACATCATCTCATACAGCGTGCTGTACGTTCTGCTCAAGGCTATCTCCACCAAACACATAGTTCACATGGGTAGCTTATTTTCACCAAGTATGGTTACGCAAACAGCAAAAGGTCATGCTATAAAAATGGGTTATAGCAACAACCTATAGGTTAGGTTGTTCAGTGTTTTCAAGAGAGCAGCTGAACACATATGAATGCTCAAATTATAGTAAGAGATATATATTCGGTTTCCAGGATCAGTGGTTTTGGCGAGTCAGAAACAACAAAGTGATGGATGGATACCCCATGCAGATTACCTACTTCTGGAGGGGACTGCCTCCCAGCATTGATGCAGTTTATGAAAACAGTGAGGGGAATTTTGTCTTCTTTAAAGGTAAGAAAACAAGAAAAGTTTGTGTAATACTTTCTGCTGTGATGATTTCTTGCAACGTCTTGCTTAATTTTACTAATGATTTGTAAATCGTGTTGCAAATTGGCAGCTAAATGAAGACTACATGAGTTATGTTATCTCATTTTGGCAACCACAGCTTTAATTTATGATTCCCCTTCAGAGTGTCAGATCATTTACATACTCAGTAAAAATTAAATTTGGAAGTATAAATAAGAGACATAGTAATACAGTGATCTACTATGAAATCCTTTTTGAGAAATGTGGATTAGGAAGCAAGAGTGAAACCACAATCTTGTTTGTTTGGTTTTTTTTTTTGTGGTTCTCTTTGCTCTTCATTTTCACAAATGAAATCTTCATATATTTAGATGGTATCTCTGATACATATATATCTCATCGTACTACACTTATTTCATCTGAGAACTGTGATGTTAGGATTTTCAGGTGGCACAAATAAGTGTATTTTTTAGATGCACGTTTAGTATTTTTAAGGAAAAAAAAAACAGAAAATGTGTGGATTAAATTGTTGCTAATCGTTCTTTTCGAAGTTTCACTCCCATCATCAGCTGCTCTTCAAAATGAGAGTTCTTGAACATGCCTCGAACTTAGGTTTAAAAGAAAATTATCCTGTATGTTAAATAAATACCCATTTAGCAACAAAAGGGTGCAAACCATGTAGAATATGTTTTATAGGATAATAATTTAAAAGAAGAAAGAAAAAAACTGAATAGATGTGTGAAAACTTATTCAGCTGTTTAGTGTTGTGATTCATTTGTTAACTTATTACAAAAAAGTAAAATCTTTTTGAAGTTGTTATATAAAAAATTAATTATATATTACTAGTGGAATCATTAACAGGGAGATAGAAATAGTATTACATTTCTTACAGAAATACTATCATCTTGGGAATGCTAAATTGAAAATGTTTAATAACATCCAGAAACACCACACAACCGTACAATGCAGATGCAGTTTATGTTACTAATAGGGAAATTGTATTTTTGTGTGAATAGTAAGGGAAATTACATTCCATATAGAACATCATCATTTATGTGACTTCAATGCAACATGTACTTTTACTTCTGTTGCCATAAAATAAAATACATATCATAAAACCTGGGAAGTTGATAACATCAGAAATCATGATAAAGGTGCCTCCAAATTCCATCCCTCTGCTTGATTTTTGGTCCATGAGACATGGGAGTATATAAATATTATTCGGTAGATATTTATTTGCTCATCACTGCTACATAGAGCAAAGAAACTACCCTGTGCATTGCAGACTTCTACCTTGATAATGATGAACTTCAGACAGAAATGGTCAAGCTTATTGTTCTACCAGCTTTCTTTTTCTTTCCAGTGACCTCAAAATATGTTTTATAATTATTTAACTCTTCACCCAGTGCTGGCTGGCTCCTGTTAGGTCTTAGAGGAATGCGTTGACTCAGTAGTCTCTAAGTTATAGACAACAAAAAAAAAAAAAAAAAAAACTTCTTTATTTTCTACCAGGGAAATTTAACAGTTAGGACTAATCAGAGCAAACAGAGGCAACAGGATTGTGGTCTTAAAAGTCAGAATATTGTGTTCTTTTCCTTCCTCTTCCCAGCTTATGCGCTCTCATTTCAAACCAGCTACTTTTGTGCTTTTTACCTGATGTGATATTTGGATTTTCTGTTGCAGGTATTTTTCCACCTTCTGTCTGAAAGTCCTTAAATTATTTTTTCAGTGACATCAGTATTGTCCCTTTGTTTACCAAAGTTAAAAATCCTGTATTTCCTTTTGCAATTTTTCTGAATATTTTTGCTTTTCTAACAGTTCCTCTTCATGATTTCTTGTATCTCCCTAAAGCTGTTTGCCTGTCCATGTAATTCATGTATTTTGCATTGCAACAGAATCAGTATCACAGTATCACAGTATCACAGTAGGTTAGAGATTGGAAGGGACCTCAAAAGATCATCTAGTCCAATCCCCCTGCCGGAGCAGGAACACCTAGATAAGGTTACACAGGAACGTGTCCAGGCGGGTCTTGAATGTCTCCAAAGAAGGAGATTCCACAACCTCCCTGGGCAGCCTGTAAGCCAGTAGGTTCAGCTGAGTCTTTTGTATGTGTTTGTGTCCTTGAAAATTCATGTTAACCAGGGTTCTCAGCTGCCTTGTGGAACAGGGTTGCAGAAGTATATATCAATATATTTTAGGTAGCAATCACTGTCTTGTTTCTTCCATTCCCTCACAAAATGATTTTCTGGAAAAAGAGTATATGTCTTCCTCCTAAAGGTAATAAAATACACAAGTTGATTATTGCTAAGATGATGAGCAAGTAAAGTATGTTATCCAGGTAACGTGCTTTACCGATCTAAAGCTGGTCAAGCCAAGTAAGTTCTAGAAGGAGATTAAAACCTGAAGTCTAGCATACAGATGTGTCATTTGCATCCACTATTCAGAGGAAAAATAGAAAAGATGGAGTGAGTGCTTGGGCTAGAACTATGTCACTATGCACTCCTCTCAAAGAACATTTTCCACATCACTTCATTTTAAGATGGTCAGTATTTGGGTGAAGACATCATTTATTTGAGGATTTTTGAATAAATTCTTCTTAAGTTATCATTAACATCCGATGTCCTGAAAAGTATAGGGTCTTGAATCTTCAGTGTGTGCTGGAGAAACAGATCAGTGTGTAGATATCCTCTCTTCACAAAAGCCACAGCTTCCTCTGCAGATGCGCAAAGGAAGTTTCCAGGCACACACATCTCCATTGCCCTCTTTCACTACTCACTTTGGAAGCTTTTTTTGCTAGTGTGAAATGGCCTCCTATGACTAACTTGAGGAGCAGTGATTCTACTCTCTGAGGAAGGTGAAGAAAGGAGCAAGCCAATGTACTGGTCTGCAGTTGCTACTAAGTAATTGCCATCTTGTTTCTGTTTACATGCCTACACTGTCATGAGTTTAGGATAAACAGTATCTGTTAGGCAGGTGACATTTTTACGATGCACTCAGGGTAGACGTTGTGAACAATCCCGGATTAAAACATCCTGTGCATCTCTTTAGAAATCCACAAATCTCATTTATTTTCAGTGATCTGTGCTCTATTTGATTTGCTTAATCCTTGTCTTCAGGATGCCAAACATCAAATTTGAAACAATTCATTTAAATTATAAAACAGGTTTAGATCTTGTTTAGATATTGTTTTTTTATCAGCATTAGATTTTTTTCTCCCTGTGTGTATACAGTTGGATTCATGATATTAGTGGACGTCTTTACAGTAGTATAGAGATTGATAAATGTATAAAAATACATTTAACTTTTTTCATAGGAGCTATATTGTAAAATATCAACCATATATAAATGATACATGATGGCAGCTCTGGATAGTACATTTAGTTAGTAAACTTCAAAATCTTTATATTTAATGCTTCTCCTATGAGAAATGTAATTAACTTATGCTAGTAAAATCTATCAATATAACTATTTGACATTACTCAACTAAGAATAACTAAGAAACCAGTGAAATCATGCATAAAGTGCTAGATGTCTGTAGAAAGTCTGAGTTAATTTCAAGACTATTGGATGAAGTATCTTTGCTTTTAGGATTTCATTGGTTTAATTTTTTTTTTTGTTTTACCGTATTAACTTTAAAAAAAAATTAGTATTTATTTACAAAAGGGTAAACAATGGTAAAAATTCATCAATGTGCTTGTAGTGCAAAGTGAAATTTGCTCATTTCTGGTGGCTTAAGGTACTTGGCCTGCCTCATGCCTCATGATGCTTGAAAAGTACATAACAATCTGGTGGATGGCTGGTTATAAAAAACCCAGATGTTTACATTCATGTTATTATTCATTGCTGGTGTCCATGCTGAATGATAATAAGAAGATGGCACCAGAATAATACTTTTTCTTTTTAATGAGAAAATGTGAATAATAAAATTTATTCTGTGTATTTGTGGGAATTTATATGGTGCTAAATACGAAATTGTCAAGCCATCTGCACTGTTGAATGTTACAGCAAACCAAATGCAGCAATAGAAAGGCTGCTGTAAAACTCATACTAGCAGTGCCACCATCATAGCTTTCAACTGCACTTACACAACTGTTGACAGTTTTGTTTTAAAAGTAAATTTACTATACTTCTGCCAGATCATGGAGCAGAGAAATGACAGAAACTTAATGTGGGAAATAAATAGAGAATGAGAAAAAAGGAAGCATGAATAGTAATTTCGTGATACTAGTATGAAGACACCTGATCCTGGCTTGAAAAACTAAAATTAAGAGCAAAGGTGACTGGAGAAAAAAAATAAATCAGAATCAGACATTAAAATTTTCACCAGTTTCCAATATAATTGCTAAAAATTTGGAGAATTTGTCTTATCACAGTTAAACTTACAGTGATTATATGCTAACTCCCACATAGGTCTTGCACTACGCACATATAATAATTGTGTGTAAGATGACCAAAAACTTGGTTGCTGACAACCCAGGAGCACAACTGTTCAGTATTCTGATTCTACAAATGAAGAACTATCATTTAAGGTCTGCATAATTGTTTGCAGTAGTCAGTAGGTAGTTAAATAGTCTGAAGAACATCTGGAGTTAAATATTCAGTATTTTAAGTAAAGCATAGCAATACTCATACTCTTTATTTCCATTATTTTTTTTCAAATGTCAAAGATAGATATCAAAAAACTGCAAATAACTGCAGTCACAGTTCATCCGTCTCAGTTGTTTCCCTACAGTGATGGTATTTAACAAAGCATGATTTCAAAAAGTAAGACATTTTGACTTTTTTATCGCTTGCTTCATTCCCAACTTGTGACCTTACCATTCTGCTTGTTATATTAGGTTTTACATTAGGGAATAAAAACAGAGAGAGATTAAACATCCTGAAGGTTAGCCAGACTACATGAAACATGTGATGCTTTATTCACTGTGAGAGTAACAACCCATCAACTAGACTAAAGAACAGCGTTATGAAATAAATACAGTGGTGATTTCTGTCAAGCACATAGGTTAGGACTCTGAAAAGGTATTGGTTATCTGTAAAAAGGATCAAGCTATAATTATTCTAGTTTTGTCATATATTTTTTTATTTCCATTACAAACATGATTAATGAAGTGTATTGAATATTTACTAGTGGAAGTGGAATATGAATTAAGTGAACACATACGGACTCAAGAATTCATTTTTAATGCATTTTAAGATACATAAATATCATTTGAAATAAAAGGAGCATATTCTCATCACAGTAAAGTATCATTTGTGTTAAATTCCTGCTTTAAGTCTTCCTAACATTTGGTTGTGAATTTGAAAGCTTCTAATCTTTTCTTTTTTGGAAACCCTCTGATCAACAGCCCTCCACTTTCCTTCAGCTGAGGGAGGGAAACTAAACAGGAAAAAAGCCAAGAAAATCAAACAATAAAACCAACAACAAACCACCTAAAACCTTCTGAAACAAATAAAAAAACCCTGAAGTAAGAATTGTCAGCCAGATAAAACATTTGTATTTCCTATATACAGTCCCTCCCATTAACAGCACAGCAGACTAAACTATTCTTCCAAAGCAAATCAATAGAAGTCTTTCCCACATACGTTAGAGCTTTCAGTGCCCTAACATCTCTATTAAAAAACAGTCAAATTTGCCTTTTCACTATTTAACCAGAAAGAATTTGCTTTTTAGTAAGAAATATGTGAAGAATTTAGTTTTTTATGTCATGTGTTCCCACAGCTTCACTTTCCTTCTACTTCAGTATATTTGAATATGCACAAATATGTGGCTAAGTGTTGCTGTCACTTATAGTGGTGTGTGCTCAACCCGTGTTTATTTTGGTATGACCTGATCTTGTTAATGTAGCTCATAATGTTCTTAACAATTGCTGTTACTTTTATTCTTTGTGAAGTCCAGAGAAAGGTAATAGCATTACATACATCACAGCATATGTCTCCCAATGCTGTGCAACAGCTGTGATTTTGAATGATCTTTGAAACAGAAATGAGCTGGCTTAGTATCATTCATTCACTGAATACCATCTGTTGTTCACACCATAACTACCAACTGGTAAGGTCCAAAACGCATGACTTCTCTTATCATTGCGTTTGAAACTGCCATTACCATCTGAAGCCTTCTGTGTCTGGTCATGTGAATTGGCAGAAGGGTAAACCACGTGGGAGGCAGGACAGAGAACGACTGAAGATGCTCATCCCTGTCATAATCAAACCCTGTACATGAATTTTGTAAGGGATCTCAATAAAAGTAAATGTCACGGTAGCACAGACTTTAATGCTCAGACAGCACAGACCTCAGCTTTCCATGACCATTCTTCATTATTCTCTGTGTCTTTTATTTTCACTACTTCAAATGGCTCTGTACATATTCATTGAATCCTTTCTTCCTTCAACTGGCAGGGAAGGAAAGACGGATCTGTTGAGCAAACTGTAGTGTTTGTGCTTGGAAGTGGGTGACAAGCAGCTGTAAAGAAGCTGATAAAAAATTTACTCTGGAAACCCAGTATGGGAGGGACTGAAACTGTATCTCCTCTCCTAATTAAAACTGTGATACTATGTAACATTCTTTAAATCACTACAGCATAAACAGGGAGATTAAAAAAACCCTCCCTTTAAACCAACTTTTAATACTGCTGAGGGATAGTTAAAATATAAAAATGACCACAAAACAGCTCTCTAGATTTTTCCCTCTTGGTGAGTGGCATACACCTGATCCTCGATCTTTAGGGTAATATTACATTTCCTTATAAAATATTTATACAGCACAGTATCTTAACCTTGGAAGTCTTTGTAGCAGCCTGCCTAGCCTTACAGGTAAGTGCAATGGCTAATATGAACAGCTATGATTTTATCTCTTAGGATATCTTTGCAAATATGCTTGGGCAAAATATATTTTCCGATTTCTCCCCTAATATTTTAAATGTCATCATAAATAACAATGGATTGACCAAAGTGAAGTATCCAATAGGCCAATTCAATATCTATGTTCATGGAGAGCTTTCTGTGATGTAATTCAGAATATGTACGTGATGTCAGAGTATCTTCTCCTTCAGTGTTATTATTACTAAAAATAGCAATGTTTTTCAAAAACACAGATGAAGGTAGTGCTTTGAAAAGAAAAAAACACATGGTTCCTACACAGTGGAGCCGATAGTCTAGCTCAGAAAGTGTCCCTGTGGCCTAAATGACATAGTACAAAGGGAAGACAGACCTCAAAGCAAGCTTTTCAGATAAGTACTAAAATGCGAATTATGCTCCCTTTTCCCTATTTCTAGGGGGCATATGAGGATCTTTAGTCCCTTTTTTCAGCCAAAGCTGTCTGTATTTGAAAGCAAAGTCTCTACTGAAAAGACACAGGTGAGAAGTGTATTTTGAAGAAGAATTAGAAGAAAGCAAAAAATGTAAAAAGGAGAAGATAATTGCAAGAATAGGAGGGGAGGCACAATTATTGGGGAAAGTGTTAGACTAAAGGCTTAATATGAGAAGAGATGAGATAATCACAGAAGTGTTCAGTGAGGAAGAGGAGATTAGCTAGGAAGCTAGAGCAGATTGAAGCTGGGAAACTGGAGTTGTGGGCTGGTGAGGTAAGCTATCCAGTTACAAGAGAGAGCACAGGTAGCATCCTCTCCAGCAACAGGGACAGGGGGTGGGGGAATACTACCAAACACTGGTGCAATTGCTGCTTCTGTAGACATGTATACCCGTATATAGAAAATATATTTAGTTAGCAGATGCAAAAATAGGGTTTCAACCACTGAGCATTGCCAGTATCCAGGAGGCACCAGGCTATTATTTTGATTTAAGACAGTTTAGGTATCATGAGGATTGCGTAGACACTGTGCTAAGAGTTATGCATTTACCTTGTATTATCAGCATGTAAGAGTCAAGTGGGTAGTTTTGAATGATTTGTCACCCACAGCCAAAGGTTAAATCTTACTGCCACAGGTACTGAAGGCAACCCCCATTAATTTCAGAAACACAGGGTTTTCAGCTGTGGAATTTCAGAACTGCAGTTTTGTCTTTAGGCCACAGTAAAGAAAATCTGATTAAAAATATTGTAAATTCTGTGGTCATTTCAGAAATAATCTAAACAATCTGTACATCCTTCATGAGCAATTTAATTTCTTGAGGAACAGGAGAGTGCAAAGTAACAAAAGTATATGGTCTCTGTGAGGCTAGGATTTTTTTATTTTTTATTTATTTCTATGCTTTCTTACCTCATTTTGTCTTAACAGTCACTCTTCTTTCCTAATAAAATGTAAAATTGTTGTGTATTATTGCTGCAAATGTATTACATTACCAGCCACAGAGCCTCTTGAGATGATTTCATTTTCATTCTGGGTTTGAACCCTATATAGTTGATATCAAAATACTCTGTGGACTTATTGAACTGAAGGTGCTTTATAAATGCAAGGTATCTGTAAGGCATATTTAATTTTGCATTATCTGCAGTGATAGAACATTTTTCATTTGTGTTTGGCAGAACCACTGTAGACCTTTGGGAGTCTGTCTTATTTCTTCAGTAGGTATTAATATTAATATTAATATTGATAGTACTGAAGACTAACACACTTATATGTATGTGTATATATGCTTTTGTACAGGTAACAAGTTCTGGGTTTTCAAGGACACTACTCTCCAGCCAGGTTATCCTCATGATTTGATAACTCTTGGAAGCGGAATACCTTCCCATGGCATTGATTCAGCAATTTGGTGGGAAGATGTTGGGAAAACCTACTTCTTCAAAGGAGATAGGTTGGTATAGGAATTATGCAAGGAAGCACATTTCTTATAACCTAAATCATATTTGTTTGAATATACTGAAATGTTCAAAAACCATGTAGAGGAGGCTGTCAGTGATATGGCTTGGTAGTGGTCTTGGCAGTCCTGGGGTAATGGTTGGACTTGATGATCCTAAAGGTCTTCTCCTACCTAGTTGATTCTATAAGTATATGAGGATATGTATGTCCAGTGGAAAATTTTTTTAATAGGTCATCAGTGAGTCATAGTTGTCACAAATATAAACTTAAGTATTCAAAGTAATGTAGTTATGCACACTCTTACCTGCTCCTTTTTATGCACATTTCTAAACCCTGTCATATAAACAGGCTAGGCATGATGCAAAGCTTTTTAAGGTCAGTAAAAATTACTTCTGTGCTACTACTCAAAAATAGGGTAAGAAAGGGAAATGACAGCCAAGCCAGAAAATGAAAGAGCAATCTGAGCAGTTCCTTTGAAATTACTTTTAAGTAAATCTTACAGTTCCCTTCTGAAGGGACACTTATTTTTATGATTAATAAAGAACAGGAAAAATATTGTAAAATCTGAGTTACTTGAATCCTGAAAGAGACTTGTACTGGTCACTTAGTGTCTCTGTGTCTTCATTTCCCTGTCTATAAAAATAAGTTATCTGACTGATGGATTTTATGAGTTTTCAGGATGTTGCTATGTTTGTTGATTGATGTATCACTGCAAATTCTGAGTCCTCAGAGACAAATTATTCTGTATTAATAATTGTAATGTCTGTATTAGTATCATTAAGAATATAATGACTTCTTTTGTTATTGTTCGGTACTTAGGATTCTGGGACAATAATAGTATTAATGGATCTCTTAAAGAAATAAATGTACATCATAGAATATGTTTAGAACACTGCAGCTGATAATTTATTAGCAATACTGTAATATTGCACTACAAATTGCCATACGCAATTTTAATACTAAAGCTTTTTTTAGAAAGAAACAAATTTTTTTCCAGCACTCATGATGAGGAAAGCACATAACCAAGTAAAATTTTTGTGCTGTTTGAAAACTAAGTATCATTTAAAGCAATCAGTTTCCACGGTGAAAAAGAAAGCCAACTAAATAATTTGCTTCCAATAGTTGAGTCTGAAAAAGAAAGATGTTACATTTCAAAATAGAGTGTCATTGGCTGTTTACTGGTGCATATGTGACTAGATCAGGTGATAAAAATAATTTATGCATGAGAAAGAAAAAATAAGTACAAATGATTTTAATGTAACTTGCCAACTCTTAACCCACTTGAAATTTTCACCTTTTAATTTAATTGGAAGTTTAAAGCCAAAGGACTGCCCCACAGAGAGAATTCAGAGTTTAAACCATTTTGTTTTTTAAAAAGATTAATATGTGGATTGATTAGAGTGTCTTAAGTACCTTGCAGGGACAAAATATCATCCACTTAAGAATTCTTTAGTATGTCAGGAGCAATCATAACAAATGATACATTTCAGGCTTTTGATGTCCTGAAACGTCAAGTGGCTGCTTTTAATGTAATTTTTACATGAATAAGACTGATTTTAGAAAAAAAAAAAATTATTCCAGGAAACCATGCTCTAAATTAGTGGAGCTAATCAAAACACCCAAATGACCAACCCAAATATTGTATCAGAATACACAGAGGTACTAGAGATACAGTATGCTAATTCTTAGAACCAGTAAGAGATAATCAACAGTAACTGTAAGTATTAGATAATAGTAAATACTTCTTACATATTCGGGCTGCATTCTGAAGCTTTTTAAATTGGAAAAGGCCTGGCAGAGAAAAAAAGGCACAAAAGCAGGTTGAATTTTGTATCTATTTCATGATAATGAAATGAGAAGCTACTGTAATGCATACATATAAGGAGTTAAATTAGGATTTCTGTGAATATTTTAATCTTAATCTGCTGTAATTTTCATAATTAAAATAGTATCTAAAACATTAATATATTTTTTGCATATGTTGCATCTCTGTCACCATGTAGAAGTCTGAGGCATCAGATTTGCTGCAATTATGAGATGCATACTGATTTAGTTGTCAAAGTGCATATATGTGTTTTATCTTCTTTCTGTTTACATGAAACAGTTGTCCAGTCAGCAAAGAGATTTCTTTGTAGTCTGCTAGTATGCTCAAAGAAAGGACATCAAGAATTCCCATTTGTGGCTAAAGAATGTAGCAATGTTAGAAAGCAGAAATATGTAGTTACTCAGCTGCTCTCTTGTAAGTGATTTTATTCTTTTTCTTTTTAAAACATTTCAGGTACTGGAGGTACAGTGAAGAAATGAGATCCATGGACCCTGGTTATCCCAAACCAATCACAATATGGAAAGGTATCCCAGAATCTCCTCAGGGAGCCTTTGTCCACAAAGAAAATGGTATGCAAACACATTCCTGTTCTAATGATTTACTAACACCTTTTATGTGAGATAGAGTAGTAGAGTGGTGATTGAGTATTCAGGTTAAGTAACAAAGGAATTCTTGATTTATGATCAGAATATTTCCTGCTGTGGAACTTGCTACTGTGGAAATGGCTGTTTGCATGTACTTTTTATCACAACAGAGAAAAGTCTTTCAAATTTAGTATCATAAACCTCAGTTTACTTTTCTTTTTCTTGTGTCTTAATTCACTTAATTATTTTTGTTCTCTGCTGTACCTCTTAAAATGTACCTCTTAAAGCAAGCTTCCTAAACACAGTATATTCCTGTTTGAATTGTTTAAACAGCTTAGAAGGTGTTATTTTTATTCTGAACCAGAAAAGGGAAGCAAAATCTTTAGCTAAGCAGAAATATCCCTAGGAACCTATGTAAATAAAAGATGTCATAAGCCCATGATGCAGAAATGCAGACCACAGGGATGTTAGTCTGAAATGCTATTACCTGTATCAAGATGCATCATCACAGGAAACTAAAATCGCATGTGGCTTCACCTCCAAATGAAGGAGAGCAGCCCAGATCTCCATCTTACAGGAATTCAGTGCTTCTCAGGGGCTGCTGGAAGGCTGCCAAAACAGTGCTCAGTTGCTCAGAGTTTAAATCTCTTTGACAGGAATAAAAAAATGCATTTATTGTCACTTATCATTGTTGGAGAATTGTTGTATGGCATATGTGATTTATTTATTAGTAGGTTCCATTTGCCTCACAGGCAGCACATAGCTATATTGTCATATTATTTTAATTTCCTTTTAATAAGCAGATAAAAATTATTTCCTTGTATAAAGCATTTAATTCTCATATTTCAGTCTGTAGCTTGATTAAGTAATTTATTATGGAAATGTTTGGGGGGAGGGTTGGGTTTTAGGTTTGGATTAGTTTTTGTTTGGGGGTTGGGGTTTTTTTTTCAAAAATATGATTTATTGCTTCCTTGCTTTGTCTCTGTTCTATCCAGAAGCAGAAACTCTCTCTAGATTCTGGCCTTCTGGATAGACTGGATTTTTTTGTGTTGTATTTATTTGTTTTAACTGGAAAGTTAAAGAACACTCATTGCTAAGTCAGGAGAGACTCTTGACTACAGCAAAGCCGCTTCTCTTTTTTACCTCAGTGGCTTTGATAGTCTGTCTGGCTCTTTGAATGAGGAGGATGGTAAAACATGACATGAGATAGGGGAGGAGGGGAAGGGAAAGAGGTCATTCTTGGGCTTCTCAGAAAGCCTAAAAAGGCCCAAGGACAGAAAGAGGGATTGAAAATGACACCATAAAGTTCCCAAGGAGACTACTAAGAAAATTTCCTTGAAATCAAGAAAATAGAAATGTTAAGAAACAGTTCACAACTCCACTGTTGTTTGTATGAGGACAGAAAGAAACAAAAGCAGATGAAAATAAGAATTACCACTGATTAATTGGAAAGAACTTGATTACATTTTGCCCAAAACTGTATTCCTTTCCAAAACTGTGTTTTCTTCCCTTTGGGCAGAAGTAGAGTTGGTAAGTTTTACTACTATATCTTTGTAAAGGAACACCTGAAAGCATGTCTTCCAGTTAATCCATTTAATTTTAAAGAATACTTTCTTCTTTTCCTTCTCTTTCTATTGTGTAAACCATGCAAATGAGCACCTGCAATAAATCTGATCATAAAGGGGTTTTCTTCACTGTCCACAAAAATTTCAGGTAACCTTTCAGTAAAAGGCTTGGGAAAGAAAGAAAAAACAATTTCCTACTCAAGTCAGCATACTGACTCCGTGTCCTAGAAGCATGGTTAGGCTCAGATAACATCTTTGAAACTATCCTTGATACTTCCCATATTGTGATTTGGATACTAATGCTGTGGTAGAAACTCCAAGGAAGAGGTGAAGAAGAAATTTCCTTTTGTTGTTCCATAGAATCTGAGATCACACAAAATTATTCAGATTGGAGAAAGCTTTCTTTCTGCCTTGAGAGCAGCATAGAAAATCTTATCTCTCAACTAAAAATTCTACTAAAGCAAATAGTGAGGCAATTTTTAGAGATAAGAGAAAATGTAGTCTATTAGTCCACTGGGCTTTTTCTTTTGCCTTTTGCTTACTAGTACTCCTAGTCTGAGTTCCTGTTTGGCACATTAGTGACCGCTATGTCCTTTCATGCTGTTTGGGTCAGGTATTGTTCTCACCACTGTCAGGTTCTACCACCTTGAAAATTTTAAGGAGCAGGTTCAACAAGTCAAGCAGATGAAAGCACTTTCAACAGTTGTGTGACGTCACTTGTTCTGCCATGAGAAGCAGTAAAACTGCTCAGTCTCTTAAAACTACCCTTCTCTGCTGGTGATTTCCATCCTTCTGAATGTTACTGACTGTTATCCTGGTTCCTGCCTCAGCAAAGCAGAACTTTCCAAGTAGAAGGTAGTTTGAAACAGGAAAGCATAAACTATCTTCAGAGTTTTCCAGTGGAAAATATGCTCTGATTGAAGAATTTTTATTGGTTCTATAGAGGCTAGCAATTCCTTTGCTGCTTTGATTTTAACAGTTTGAATTTGATCTTTCAGTATAATAACAATTAATACTAACTAATATCAGTATTCTGACTTATATGTACATTTGATGTGTACCTGTATGTATTCTGTGTATTTGTAAGAATATAGACGTAGAGATACCGTATCTGTATTTATTCTATATGTATTAAAATACTGATATCAGATTTCTACACTTGAAATATTTATCCAGGTCCAGTATGTACAGTACTTTTTTACATACACATTGGTATATGAAATGAAAGGATAGCATAACCTGGGGTTCAGAATGCTGAAATTCTTCAGTTTAGAGTATTTTTCATTTAAAATACAGATTGCTTTAAGGAACTTGATATGCTGAAATTTTAAAACTACATCATAGTAAAGAATTATAGTCCTCTTTTTAGTTTTGTTCCAATCAGAATAGAAGGCATTTTGTTAACAAGCCTCCTAACTACTGTTTTGATATAGCTGTGCTATTCTTTTCTTTTTTTCTTTATAATCAGTATTGTACCTTTCCATAGATAAACTAACAGTACTGATTAAGGAAAGGAAAATAGTACCTTTTCAGTGGCTAGGAAGGCCATTAAAATGACATAAACAGGAAATGTAGAATAATGTTCTAACATTCTAAGTATTCTGAAAAATGGCAGTAGATGATGATGATGTTCTTACAGTTTGAGCTGCAAAATATGCTATCAAGTAATTTTTTTTTTTATAATTGAAAGAAACTAACTGCTGTTTAAATAAGTAATTACTAATATTATCTCCAGATAGCCAGTCACTGATGTTTTCAGGAAGCATTGTTTTTCTGTAGTAACGTAAGAAAATGAAATCCCAGTTTATTAAAAAACAACAACAACAAAAAAAAAAAAAAAAAACAACAAACAAAAATCCCAGTGTTAGATTCTCTAGAAACAGTAAGAAACAAAATCTGTGACGATTTGAAAGACCTAGAACTGAAGTCTATTTTTAATTTTTTAAGTAAAAAAAAATGATACCAGTAGTTTCAATCATAGTGTATTCATGTGATTTGATCCAATATGACCATGAATAATTTCAATTTTCTTCCTCAGGCTTCACATATTTCTACAAAGGAAAAGAGTACTGGAAATTCAATAACCAGATGCTCAGGGTGGAACCTGGCTATCCCAGATCCATCCTTAAGGATTTTATGGGTTGTGATGGACCAACAGATCGAGATAAAGACCGACACAGCCCTCAAGATGACGTTGACATTGTCATCAAACTGGACAACACAGCCAGCACTGTGAAAGCCATAGCCATCGTCATTCCCTGCATCCTGGCCTTGTGCCTCCTTGTCTTGGTTTACACTGTGTTCCAGTTCAAAAGGAAAGGAACACCCCGCCACATACTGTACTGCAAACGCTCTATGCAAGAGTGGGTGTGATGTAGGGTTTTTTTCTTTCCCTCCCAGGAGTTTGTGGTAACTTGAGATTCAACACAAGAGCTGTTATGCAGTTTCCTAGCTAGGAGCGGGCATCTGTCAGTCTCAAACAAAGCTGATCTTTAAAACCCAGGGGGTTGCCTGTCCTGCGCATGAGTGGCAGTTTGCTCAGCTGGGAAGCTTCCATGATACACAGTATCTGCTGTTTCTTCAGTCCTTTGTCTTTCTTTGTCATTCAATCTAGGCCTTTCCTCTGCACGCTCAATGCCCTATAAACTATCAGGATTAACTAACAAAGAGGAAAAACAAAACAAAAAAATCTCCAATGTTTCTACATTTGTCCCTTAAGGCCTGTTCCCCTTTGAAAAATTTTTTGCTGAGAGTGAATTTTTTTAGAAAAAACACAACAACCCACAACGGAACTTTCAGGAAAGTGAGAAGACCCAAAACAGCTTTGTCTCCAAAGAGGATTGCTTTCTGTCTGCTACGGATAAAGTCCTATACTCCTACTTCCAGTTTTGTTGTCAGGTGGGAGACTCGGATGACACACAGGACTTCAG